GTATTCACAGTAGAATTTTGAGAGATGGATTTAATGAGCCTTAGCTTCCATTTGGGGTATTATAACAGTTTGACTGTTCAAAAAACCCCACAAAGGCCTACCATTTGTAAAAGTAGACACTCCAGGGTATCTTATAAGGTGCATATTGTGCCTTAACATGCCCCCATTTTTTCACCAATATATGCCAAAGTATGTGGTAAAAAAAATTTTGTGCATTTTTTACATACGGATTGCATTTTTGCTGGGCGTTTTGTATATTTCATATGTGCCACTAAGTTCAAACCCCCCAAATTATGCTCAGCTAAGTCTTCTGAGTAAAATGACACCCCATATGAATGTCTTTGGCACTATTTCGTGAAGCTACAGTGCCATATAGGAGACCTGTCCTTTACAGTATTCACAGTAGAATTTTGAGAGATGGATTTAATGAGCCTTAGCTTCCATTTGGGGTATTATAACAGTTTGACTGTTCAAAAAACCCCCACAAAGGCCTACCATTTGTAAAAGTAGACACTCCAGGGTATCTTATAAGGTGCATATTGTGCCTTAACATACCCCCATTTTTTCACCAATATATGCCAAAGTATGTGGTAAAAAAATTATTTTGTGCATTTTTTACATACGGATTGCATTTTTGCTGGGCGTTTTGTATATTTCATATGTGCCACTAAGTTCAAACCTCCCAAATTATGCTCAGCTAAGTCTTTTGAGTAAAAATACACCCCAATGAATGTCTTTGTCACTATTTTGTGAAGCTACAGTGCCATATAGGAGACCAAGCCATATCCGTTTTTACCAAACTTTGAATTTTGACGCTGGGCCTATATGCAATTTCCAAGCATCTTCGCAGGTTTTAAATTCAATCTACCCCACAAAGGCCTACCATTTCTTAAAGTAGACACCCCAGGGTGTTTCAAAAGGTATAGTTTGAACCTTAGCGTGGGATCATTTTTCCGCTAGCTTGTACCAGATGTAGTGGTAATAAGCGTTTTTTCTGCCTTTTGACATACAAAGTGAGTTTGCACAGTATATTTTGCAAACCTTATGTGTGCTACGACTGTATAATACTTCATATGTTGCTCAGCTATGTCGGCTGAGTACAGCAATACCCCCGTATGTACCTTTGCCAGGTATGTGTGGACATCGGAGGGGCACATTTGGGACACAGCCATTCCAGTTTTTTCAAACTTTGAATTTTTATGCTGTGCCTATGTCCCATTTTAGAGTATTTTACCAGGCTATATAATCCAAATTCCCCATAAAGCCATACCATTTCTTAACCCCTTCAGGACGGGTGACGGACGAGGTCCGTCACACAGGGGAGACCCTTAACGACGGGTGACGGACCTCGTCCGTCACGCGGTAAAATTAACCCCGGATCGCCGCTATCGCGGCGATCGCGGGGTTAATGGTGCTCCCGGTATGCCTCCGGATTGGAGGCATACCGGGAGCACCCGGTCAAGCTGCCCAGCACATGTGCTCGCTCTGACCACAAGTCGGAGCGAGCACATGTGCTCTGAATACTTACCTACCGGCTCCCTGCACTTCCGGGTTCTGTGTGAAGTGCAGGGAGCCGGATCAGTGCTGATCCTGCCCCCTGCTGTTAAAAAAAATAAAGTTAAAGTGTCCCCCCCCTTACCCATTTTAATAAAAAATTAACCCCTTCCCTGCCAATTGATCACTGACTACAGTGATCAATTGGCAGGGATTACATTTTACTATGATCTGATTTTTTTTTAACCCCTGAGGGTTAATTCTTTTTTTTTTTAACCGTCAGGGGTTAAATTAATTAAATTAATTAATTAAATTATTTTTAAATTATATATTTAGATAGCTGGGGTAGGTGGAAGTTAGTGGGGAATTGGGGGATTTGGCGTTAGGCTAACTAGGGGTTAAGGTTAAAAAAAAGTTTTAAAAGAAACTTTAAAAAGTTAAAAATTAAGCTTAAAAAATGTTTTAATAACATTTAAGTAATAAAAACAAAAAAACACACTTTACCTAGTCCAAATAAAAATTAACCCCTTCCTTGCCAGTCGATCACTGCCTACAGCGATCAAATAGAGATCACAGTATTATACTGTGATCTAATTTTTTTTAACCCCTGAGGATTAACTTTTATTTATTTTTTTTAACCCTCAGAGGTTCAATTTATTTAATTAATTAATTTAAATATTTTATAACTATATATTTTGCTAGCTGGGGTGGGTGGGAGTTATGGGAAAATGGGGAATTTACTGTTAGTGCTGCGTACTGCTAGTTAGGGGTTAACAGTAAAAAAAATAGCTTAGAAAAATGTTAAATCTGTAAAAAAGTTTTAAGAAAGTTTAGGAAAGTTTAAAAAAAATTTATAAGCAAAACAAAAGTTTAAAAACTAGTTTTTAAAAGTAATAAAGTTATAAAAAGTAAAAAAATACATTTTAAAAACGCTCATTACCACTACACCTGGAACAAACTAGAGAAAAAATTATCCCACGCCAAGGTTCAAAATATGCCTTTTGAATTACCCCAGAGTGTATTCTTTAATAAATAGTATGTGTTTGTGGGGAAGTTTCAATAACCAACCGTCTAAACTATTCCAAATTGGAACATGG